TGTACACACGAGTATAAATATATATTATTATATATATGGTATATTTGTTGTCATTGTTGTTTTTGGTCCAACCTTACTACGTTACCATCGCTCTTGATTTAGATAACTACGTGAGATTTTCATTTAACTTGTACGAATCGATTATGCAAACACATACTTGCATACATTTGTGTACAATAATCGGATGTATGTATAACGTTTATGGGAACTCACAGCGAGCAACCGGCAACACGCATGACGTGCACAACTACAACGCCGCAACTTCGTACGTTTTTTCACAATCGTGTAAACGTGCATTCGTACGACTTGCATTTTGCCGAAGGCTTGTGCGATGACAAGCAGCCGAAGGTGTGCGTTGTCGGCGGCAAACGCTAGTTGGCTCATTCAATTTCCAACTCTTGCTTAGTGCGGTCATAAAGTGCGCAAAGCGTGACGTGAAATATCTATAAACTACCAAAAGCTAAACAATTCATAAATAAACTAATTAACAAACTTACAATTTGATAATCTAAGAATTGAGCATCAATGAATAATATTTTTGAGTTGCCCAAAGGAATAAATTAAAAAAAAAGTGAAAAGTCTCATTGCCAAAAATTGTCCAAATGCAATTTGCTGTACACACGTGGAAAGATAAAAACGATAAAAGCTATTGGAGAAGCAACAGTGGGAAAAAGAATCCATAGGTTGGCTAATATTGACCGAACAGCCGACTATCTGACAGCTGCTTAAACACCAACACACACACTTACCATCGTATGTGTGTACAAATGCGTACGTGCGAACGCACCACAGCATAAAAGTCAATAGTTAGCAACTCCAAATATCACGTAGTCTCCTTTGACTATTGCTTTGGAAGCGCCAACAATAGGCAAATTATTGCTGCTCGCACTGTTTATTCGTCTGCGTTGTGTGGAAAAAGGGGGTGTGTCACAACGCCGTTTGTAAACGCTGAACTGAAATATAATTACGTCGGCCTCCCTCAAGCCGTATAGGGCTGTGCATGTGAATTCGTAATTTGAAAAACTACCAAAATAAACTCTGAAAACAAATTGGGTACCGGCAAGCGAAAAAGTGTTGTGCTTGAAACACGCAAATTAAAGAAACAAAGTTTAAGTTGCCAAAAATTATTTGCCGTGCAAAAATAAAAGCGAAAACCAACAATAAAAATTACTCAAGGCTGAAACTGATTTCCAAACTGTGATTTCATTCATTCATCTATCAGTGGCTGAGCGCGCATTTATCGGTTTTGTGTTTCTTTTTTAAACACCAGAAAATATCATCATCATCAATTTATTCATCTGCTCGTGTGTGTATTTGTTCGGTTGTGATTAAACACTCAAAGATACTGTGATTCATCTTAATTTAATTTTACGTTAAAATATTGAATTTTTTAAACTTCTTCGCAACTTACACGTTACGCTTTTCAATGAAATCCGAAGTATTAAATTGTAACAACAACAACCAGTTCAACAGTTGTTTAAGTAAAAAACTAAAAGTGAAAAAATCGCTAAAAGAAATGTCAACGAAAATGTTCGCCTCCCAAGTAACCGATTATGATAGTTTCTTCAAGCGGGCGGCGAAACCCTCCAATGCGGAAGAGTTCTTCCGCGACAGTTTAGACAATGGGTAAATATTGAAATAAGCAGTATATAAGTGTACATTCGATATTTGTTAAGTGTAAAATTAATTGTCAAGGGTTTATCGTAAATTTTGAAAGATTTTAAATGTAAATTGTATTATTTAATATAAAAATAATTGTTCACAGTTTCTAATTACCGGAATAGTAAAAATAAAATCTGCTAGTAATTAATTTAAATCTTAACAATTTTTCGTTGAAAATATTTACTCATTTAAGAGAAAACACATTTTTTGTTTATCTATTAATTCTTTTTACATCGTCTCTTTTTCCGGTTCTCATTAATATTCTAAAAATAGTAGTTTGTAATAAAAGAATAATTAGTTTATGTGTTTGGATATTTTAAAGTTGTCTGTCTTATTTTTTTTTAAATATTTTTTGCGAATTATTTTTTTATAATAGAAATTACAAAACCTGAAACAAAATATTTGACAGCAATTTGTTGTATGAAATATTTATTACGAATTTAAAAAAATAATTATTCAAACGTTAACTTAGGCATTTTATAACAGCTTAAGAACAAACAAATTTTTGACACAAAATAACGGACCTTTGTTAATATAATATATACTTATATGAAAGCAGATTATATATGTATATCTATAAATACATGTTTATAATTGGTGTAGTGATTATTTTCGAAATGGCTGTCTTACTTCGTTTTCCAATGATAATGGAACCTTCGGAGTGTTCCCGACCACACCTAAAACTTTTTATTTACAAATAATTTTTATCTACAATTGATGATTTTTGACAAATTGCGCACATTGGATTATTAAGAGAAATGTTAATGAAAAATATTACTCGGTTAGTAGGCAGGATCTAATTCCGAGTAACTATTATATATCGCACTGCAATTTTCATCGGATAGCCATTTATATTCGTACAGTATTTCAGCGTTTTCATTTTCCTGTTTATGATTGTCATTTGTTATATTTTTCGATATTTAGATACTTTTATACTTAACTCACTCTTTCTGCTTATAATATCGATAGTTGTTCGGATCATTTTTAACTAAGTTAACAAAGTCCAAAGTAGAATGCTCCACTTTTGTCGGAGCAACGCAAAACAACATGGGAACCCAGCTTTTAGACATCAATCTGAAATTACACAAAAAAATAAACAAATAATACCTAACAAGATTTCTTATAGGTTCAGGGCGCTTTTTCGATAGCACAATCACACGATCTTTTTAGGTAATATTACATTGTTTTTGAATGAATAAAAAAACTTCATTATTCTTTAATTTTTTTGCTTGGCTAACTGTTCTGTGAGTAACGGTAAGTCAAAATGGAATGATTTTCCGTTGAAGCGGTTACATGTCAATTTTTTGAAAATATTTAGATTAAAATATAACATTTCACTTAAAATTATTTTTAGAAATGTTTTCCAAAATAATTTCGCACAAATATCGTTTTAGTTTCACACATTGGTATATAATATCTATACCATATTTACTGCTTCGCATATGTAAATATGTACGTAAATGTGTGTGCAAAAATGTGCACTTCAAAACAAAAGCAATTGTGTAATTTCGCAAGCAACACAATAATTAACGCTCGTAAAAAACTAAAAATATTTGGCGCCGTTGCATTTATTACGTATTTATTATTATTTGCTATGTACCCGTATTGTATTTATTGCAATTTTTAGTTCTGTTTTGCTTTTGCTTGTTTTTGGCATGTGTGAGGTTTATTGTTATTTAGCATTAAATTACTTTCGTAACAATTTATTATTATTGACGACATAAGTTCTGCTTCCTATTGTGTCTAAAGTTTAGTTTTTATACTTTAAACATACCGCTGACTCCGATTATAATAAGTTTACTTTTTTATTTATGCTTTCATCCAAGCGAAAAAGCAGTTTTCGCAAATTTGTGCTGACTTTTTCAAAACAAAAATCACATTTTCGGATATTTGTGGTATTATTTCAGTATTTTATGGTTATTGCGGTATTTACGCCTTTGTCGTCAGTGTCGATAAGTGAAAGGTGCTATCTAAGAAACGGAAGTCTTTTATGACAGTTATTTAGATAAAAACGAAACCGAGTTTTTTATTTCATATAATGATCGTGTATAAATTTTTGCTTAGGCCAAGAAATGTCAATGCAATTTTTTTATTTTATATATTTTTCTCGAAACAAAATGTTAAGTATCTGTTCCATATATTTTCTATATCACTTTTAAAATTTATAAAAAGAGAGAAAAAATATTGAAACCAGAAAACTTGTCTAAGCGCAGAAAACATTGCAAATTACCAGAAAAAATCAGGTTTTAAATTAATTTTGGAAACAAAAACTATTTAAAAGTACTAAATATGAAACACAAAATTCAACAATAAGTAAAATCTCATTTGAGTGAAATTAATTAGCACGAATTTTCTTTATTACAAACAAATTTTTCTCAGTTTTTATTTGTTTCCAAAAGTTTTTATAAATCAAGTCGAAAATGAAATTTTAGATTAAGAAGAAATCATTAATTGTGTAAAAAAAAATTAAAAATCAAATAATAACTAAAATTATTTAAAAATTAAATAATAAAGTGAACATATGTAAAATATAAAAGGTAATTTCTAAATTTGATTAAAGTTTATAAAAATTAAAAACATATGTACGGTACTCACAGCGTGTCATAGCGCATCTTAAATTCATAAATTTTTGCACCTGTTTAAAAAAATTGTTGTTGGATTACATTCAAAAATGAATTTACGCAATTATTCATTGATTTTATATTTCAGCGCTTTGCGATGCTGTCATCAACTCGTTACCTTATTTCTGTCGAAAGTTTGAGTAATTTTTTTCCTCATTCAAGTTTAAGTGCCGGTTTGCCAACCAAACTTATGCCCTCTGTACATATGTAGATATGTATGTACATATATGGCATAAATTATGAAACCGCATGCTTTGCAGTTGTTGGGTGAACGTTTTGGTCCTCACGTATTCTCCAATTCACTGCAGAAATAGGTATATATCAGACTAACCATGATCTGCGCACGCTTAACGTGTGTTTGCTAAAGCCTCGAAATATTTGGAACTTGTTGCGAAGAAATAAAGCCAATGGCAACTTCTTAAGAATAATAATATAAATTATGCTCTGAGTGATTTTGAATTTAATTTAATAATAATATATGTTCTCGCGCATGCACCCCTGTGTGTTGACTCTTGAGATTTTTTCACTCAGTGAATTGATATACAAAATTACAAAAATGCCCTTAAAAAATTTTCTTTTTGTCAATTTTAAAATATGCCAAAATATGTATAAAGAAAAAAATAATATGTATTTGAAAAAGAACAACTTCCTAATTTCTATGAACATTTTTCCGATTTTCCTCTAATTTAAAATATTATTTATTTTTTCTATTTTTAGTGAGCGCCGCTATGACGAATTATGTCGAAATATTATCAGCGACATGAATCAGTACGGTTTGTCGGTGGTCGATGATTTTCTAGGCGTCGAGAAGGGCCTGCAGATTCTCAATGAAGTGCATCGCATGTATTCAGCTGGTGTCTTCAAAGTAAGTCTTATATTTGCGCAATATTTTTTTGAAATAAATTATATTAATTTTTTGTCTCTCCTCTCTCCGTAGGACGGTCAACTGGTCAATAATTTGCGAGAAGAAGAGTTGCGCACGATACGCGGCGATAAGATAACGTGGGTTAAGGGCGTAGAACCAGGCTGTGCAAATGTTGGCTATTTGATAAATCAGGTATGTTAGTACACAAAGCGTGTTTATAAATATATACAAGGGTATAAATAAATAACAGTAAATTTTCTAACATTGCACTTATTCCATTTTGTTTTTAAAGATTGACGCGGTCATTTGTCGGGCAAACACAATGAAGAACAATGGTCAAATGGGCAACTATAACATTAAAGAGAGAACAAAGGTGCGTGTGAAACATAAAAAGATATAAAATTTTAAATAATAAAACCCGCACACACTTTTGGTGCGCTTTTAATGCCAAGTGTTTTACCGTTATAAGTATACATGTTTAATGCTCTTCTTTAATGTAGCCTATACTTTATTTAATTTTATTATATTCATATTTTTAGGCTATGGTGGCTTGCTACCCGGGTTCCGGCTCGCATTATGTGGTGCATGTCGATAATCCGAACAAAGACGGTCGTGTTATAACGGCCATTTACTATTTGAATGTTAATTGGGATACGGACCGCAGTGGTGGCATTTTACGGTAAGTTTTCTTTTAATTTTTTAATTAATGAACATCATACTATACAATATCGTGCAATTCGGGCAAGAAAATACAAGGAAATCGTATAGTTTAATTAACCTCGTTTTTTGTGCACAGATTTCATATAAATTATTTAAAATATTTAGCCACTTTTTTCTTCTCTCCAAAATGGTTTTATATATTTCTTTATTTTTTATCGTTATTTTTTTAAAATAATTTTTCTGCTTTTTCCCTTTGCGTGCCGCCCACTTTGCATAGCTTACTCACTTCTCACATTAATATTTTTTGCCGTGTA